AAGATGCCAATGAGAAATGACATGAGTGGCATTGGCTCAAATCCTAGCAGCGAGGTGTATCATGCTTCCATCATTTGGTAGGTCTTCTTGTTGCAGCCGGTATGATTCAACAGTTTGAAAAGATGCTTTCATGGTGCAACTCCTTAGACTGGTGAGGTTGAGCTTGTAGCATTGATTGTTGAACTCGCGTTGTGGTGATCTATTTATGATATCAAGCAAGAAAATTAATCATCATTACTTTACCAAGTTATTAGGAAACTTCAGTATAGCTGTAAATTTGAAATTCAGGTTTTCAGATCAATTGAAGCTCTTAGAGGCTTATGTATACTTATTAGCTCAATATTATGTTATCTCATTTCAAAAATATTCTTAAGATCAATATAGTTTACTTACAAAGTTATTACAAAAAGACAGAAAAAGAAAAGATAAGAAAAACTTGAAAATATAGGTGTAAAAGTTGGAAAATGGTTTTTAGGTTATTTATAATTAAGTTATGGGTTTTATAAGGTTAGAAAATGAAAGAACAACACTTTATTATACAGTAAAAATTTTAATCTTCAAGGTTGATAAGGGAAAACAGAAGTGATTAGCAGAAAGGTACTTTTTCAAAGTTGGTAAACAAGGGTTATGCGTGTAGTTTACATATGTAATGGTGGTAGTAGTGAAAATTAAGGTTGCCAAGAGGATTTTCCGGGATGTTTAAGGTTATAGAAGATGATGTCATATTACATGAGCAAGAAAAAGAGAGTAGCAGCTGTGAAAAGTGAAGAGAATGGGTGAATTTCGTGGAAAATGAAGGTTTTCAGCTAATTACATATGTCAAATGACGTCAGATTAAGTTGGTAGATAGCTCATTCAACGCAGAAGAGTGGATTACATAATGTAAAAACTTTAAATCATTAGTAACGGAGGTGTATGTAAAAAGTTATAAGGGAAATAGGAAATTGGTGTGAATCTCGAATTTACAGTCACAAGTCAACATGTAACACCAAAAACCTTAACTTCACAACTCAATATCTTACTCATCACTCATCAGAAATAAGTCATATGGGTGTCATAAATGATCAGTATCACGAGGGCTGCAAGATGCACTATAGTAGATCAAAATTGGACCACATCTGAAAAAATTCATAATCTCAAAAATTGGTTTGCAGCTAGTTTACAAGGAAAAACTCACCTGTATTCATCTTAAGAAGTGCTGTACATTAAATCATTGCGTCATTGATCACTTTTGGCTGTGAAAATTACATCATACATTAGTAACAAGATCATTACATTGCGTCATTACATGGTTGTTAGGGTTCTTTAGGCGGATTTGACTGGTTTTTGAGGCTGTTGACTGTTGTAGAGGTTGTTACATGTGGATATAAGTACTCTTTAATGATTTTGGGATTGTTGTTCCCCTTTCTGCATCTTATACCTTTGTTGTAGTGTTATAAATCATCATTTATTTACTATATTTGTACTAAGATCACTTAAATCCGCCCCTTCAAAGCAAGGAGAAATTTATTTGCGTGTGTTAAAGACTATAAGTCAAATTGGGAATAATACTTACCAACAGTATTGCTAGTAATAACATAGTGTGTGTACCTTTGCGCTTGAAATCTGGGAATAATACTTCACAACAGTATTGCTTTATTTCTCTGGTGCCTTTATCTTTTTCTCTGTTATCACAAAGTGGTCAGCAAGTGCCCTTGTGCTGGTTTCTTTGAAGAATGCAGTCTTTAGGCAACTTCTACTATATTACACGTAGTAGATTATCCCTTCTTAGGTGTTGTAAAGCTCTTGTTGAGCTTTAAATACTACAGTGTATGGGTCCAAGTTGGTCAAAGTCTTTTATGGCAAGTTGGCATGAGGTTCTGTGGGCCTTAGAATAATTCAAAGCATCTAAAATAGAATCATGAAGTATCTTGTATTCTTGCTCAATGGTTTCAATTTGAAAAGGTGTCTTGATGTGAGATGGGTCAATTAGGGGATACAAAGTAGAATCCAGGCACATGCCCGGGCGCGTGCCCGGATTCTACTTTGTATCCCCTAAATATTTTGAGTTTCAGATTGAGAAACTGTATCATGATCTGAGTGACCATTGGTTTCTATATGAGACTGAGCATTTGAATCCCCATCTAAATCTGATTTCCAATCTGTATCAATGTGTGAATACACATCTGATCTTGATTCTGATCTTGAGTCAACCCAAATCTTCATGATTGAATATTTTATTGGTGAAAGAAGATAGTTCTGATTCATGCTTGGAGAGACACGACAAGCTTGAATCTGAATCAAAGGCTGGATCCAGGTTTGTAATGCAACAAAGCCTAGCGGTGGCTTGCTTGATTTCCATTTTTTTGTAGGACATTTGAATGCTTTCCAACGATGACACTGACCCTGCCGGGCTTTATTTAATTTCATTGAGAAAGTGAAGAAAGAAAATAGAGGCTAAGAGACAAGATCAATGGTTGGAAAGAAAAGGATTGATCTGGATTGATCCACTATATTGAGGTGATCTCAATCCTACATGTAGTATGAAATTTGAACACATGTAATTGTTTTTTATTTTTTGCCCGGCCCGACATCTCACGGTTTTAGACACTAGCCACTATACAAACTCACCCATGGCCCCATCATGATTTTCAAGATTTTTGAGAAGGCTGTGCTGGATTTTGAGGTTCTCCTCAAGTCTGTTTAGGTGGTTCAGCCATTATAAGGGACTGGGCAAAGCTTTGCAAAATTGCAATTCAACTGTAGTTGAAAGCGAGTTGCAAACAGCTAAGCCACTGTTCAATAAATATGAAATTTCCCTATTTTTTTGGTAAGCTTTATGGCACTAAAAAATAGGGTGGCGCACAGGCATGACCCTCCCTAAGACAAGCTGTCTATTCAAAATTTCCCCCCCCCACCTCAGCCAAAAGCCTATGGCAGAACGCTTCTGGATAGCCCAATATACCTTTCACAGGTTGCTCTCGCTCTGGTTTTGGTGAAATCATCTGACAGTTGGGGATTTTGGGCTTGCAGGAGTAATCCTGACACCTCCTGTTTGCATAAATCACTTCGGTCGACTTCCAGGGGCTTCATGCGCTTATTGAGGTGGCTAAATCCTCTGTCAGTCAAAACCTCGCCCAGTCCCTATTGAGGCACTATTGTGATGAGATGAAAGTGATTTGATGAAGTATGAAATTTGAGTGGGTAACCTTGTGTAGCCAATTTCTGCCCATGTAAAATAACCTGTCTGACAAAACCCAAAAAAAAATTGGGTTGTCAGAGTCATGGGTTTTTGCCACATGTTTTTAGGTTATGTTGAGATGTTTGTGTACCACAATAATTCTGATATCTTGCAGTAACACTGGGCCAGTCATGCAAGGAAGTGCTGAGTCAATCTTATGATTCAGGTCACAAAGCACTAGAAAGCTAGTATATGTATCAAAGAAATTTTCTACTTGCATTGTTTATTGCAATGTACCCTACTATTGTTGGCTGTGAAGTACTTCCAGTATATTGAAGGCTTCTTGCTTTTTTAAAATCCCTGGCCAATGAGACCAGTACACAAGGTACATTCCTACTTACCCTGCTTTGCAAACAGAAAATGGAGCTTCACAACAAAGTAATGAGTGAATAGTATGAGGTCAGTTGGAGAAATGCAGCTAATATGTTTGGCCTTGTTAGTCCAATCAGCCAGTACAAAGTGGCTTTCAGTCATTTCATCACACAGTAGCAGATCTTGGAAGTCACATGTTGATTCTTCCTGACATTCCAAATAATGCTGTGGGTGTCACTTTTGCACGTGCAATCAGGCATACAGGTGTGCCAGAAACACCTGAAGTGCTCCACTTTGATTCACTTCTTTCTTTTTTCTTTTGTAACAGAGTGCAATCCCACTACACCCGCTCTTGCTCAGCTTACAAGAAAAACCTGCACAGCTTGTGCCCTACCACATGTTTTTTAGTCTTCAGGGTTGGGCTGATTGTTTATTCCATTGGTATTCTTCTCTGATTTTATTCAATAGGAATACAGGAAGAGTTATATACAAAATTGAGAAGGGCAAAACCAAACCATGAAGTATGAGGGGCAAAACAAACATTCATGGATAGATCAGCTGAATCAATCATGTTTGAACTTGATTGTTCAAGTGTTGCAAAATATTGACCACTATCAAAGAAGGCATGTTCTGATATTTGTCTCTTGACAGCTTTCAGCATCTATCAGATTGGCTTGCTGTGTATGTCATGCTAAACTTGAGAGCACAGAAAGACTTTCAAATGCTCTGCCAGAACTGCGCTCTGCTATATGAGATCAGAGAAGCTGGTAGCGCAGGCAGCGCAAGCCATCCCGCTACCACCCTGCTTTTGCTTTCTGTGGCAGGACACTTGAGGTATTGGTGCCAGAGGTATGCCCCCTACTAGGAGCACTAGGGTCTTGCACCCCCATCTGCAAGTGCAACACACCCACTTTTCTTCAAGCTGCAATCCTTGTCTTTTGTGTCTCTGTTTTGATAATCCAATCACACCATAGTTGCATAAGGAATTAAACAATGAGAACCTGAGAAACAAAATCAAAGACACAAAAACAGCAAGTCGGAATGAGCACCTACAAGCCATGTGGCATGAGAGTGTACATAATAGTAAAGAAAATAAGTTGGTTGGACAGTGTAGATATAATGGCCTTCTCAAAATACCATGGAGGGATTAAGTAATGATCATCAAATGTGGTTCTTCACCAAATTTCAATAGCCTCATACCTACCCAAAAACAATTTTGCTGAATTCCAGCAGGGGACCTTTCTAAGGTCTTGAATCAGAATACACCCCATGCAGCCCCTCATTCTCAAGCTGCTACGTCATGACTATCCTCGGATAAATAGAAGCAATGAAGAACAAATGTGCAAAGTGAGACTTTTTAGCAGAGCTCGCTAATGTCCCATAGACAATCCAGGTATGATCCAAAGGCCCTTTGAATTTACATCTCATTGATTTCAAAAAGAAGAATACATATAACAAAACCAAAAACTCAAGATTTTGGACGAGCTCCTTCTTCTTCTTCAGGTGCACCACCACCTAATAATAACAAAACCACAAGAGGTAAGATATACATCCAATATTTAGCTAACCAACCTTGTTCTTTAGGTGGGGGTTTGATTGAACCATCAGATAGGATTTCAGGAGTTTGACCAGTAGGATAATCTTTTAGAACTGGTTTTGGTAAACTTTCAGGTAATCGAACTGATATACGACTTTTCCATTTTCCTATTTTTGAAAATTGTTGATTGATACGATCTTGCATTTTTCCAACTTCATTGGAGGGTATTGGTACTGTAGAACATAATTTGTTAGTTGCCCAATTGATTCCTAATAGATCGTAATCTTCAGTTACGAAGGTAGTTGGTTTCTTTGCGGAGTTTATTGGTTTAGGTCTTAGCCAAAGATTGAAGTATTCTTGAACTTCTTGTCCTGGTTGTCCATTTGTATCAAGGGCGCACTGTGTATCATCAAATCGATTAATGCAAAAGGTCAGCATTTGAATCCAGAGACAACTTTTGTATGGAATGATTGAGTTGAGGCTAGTGAGATATGTACGAACAAGAGGTGCAGAAGAGATTGTGCGAGTAGATGAGACGCCAATCTCTTCTGATGGTGGCCCGGATTGGCTTGGGACTACACTTAGCTGATAGTAAAGTGTCACATTCGCCTTGCTCAGAAGGGTGAGACTAAGTGGAGAGTTCAGTTTTGGGAAGGATAGAACGTTGATTTGACGGTCATCCAGGTCTCCTAAGGGGGTTTCTGTCGGAGTAAAGCCAAGTTGTAGAGTAGCTCGAGCCTCCCAAGGGAATTGATGGGAAACGATCTCGGGTTTCAACTCCAGCGGCGCCAGACGATGATATACCGTATAGGAGTCCAAATGTTCAGCTGATAGAATCACTTTCGGTAAACTGAGAAGCTAGGAAGCCAGAGTGATCGCAGATTTCGATGAGATGAGTTGATGATAACTTGAGGAGATTGAATCACAAAAGACAAACAGGTAAAACGAGGCAGGCCCATAAAAATGGACCTGGAACCAAATGAGAATGTGTCCGAACCATCTTAAGCTATGTTGATAATTTATGGGTCTCTTGCTCGAATGTATGTTTCCAAACGATGGCGAACTTTCCAGGAAGGTTGGTAAAGCGGAAGAAACAACTCGAGCTGTTGGTGCATACACAGAGCATCACATCCATGACGCAATTCGGGTCGGGGTGCAGAGCACTGGGTGCGCCGGGCCTGGTGTATGATGTACGCATGGCGGCTTGGCACGGGTCACGTAGGGCGCACCCTTGTGTCAAACTGTTCTCGCGCTAAACTCAACCGGCAAAGAAACGATTTGATGATCGAGTTATCAGGCCTCATGCAGAAATGTTCTTTATATTGATTCGGAATCAAGTGTGGCATCAAAAGATCCCCACAAGATCTATAGAGTTGCAAAGTCTTGCAGGACTCAAAACAAAGAAAACCAAAACTTTGTGAAATCTTTTGGGTACAAGATACTTTAGAATTTTTCTGAGCTCAATCAATGGTCAATAATAAAACATGTCCATCTTTAGTTCAATGAGTAAATTTGACCTGTTCACTCGATATACAAAGCTTTAGCTGAGTATAATTATATCTTACAAGCTTGACTCTTTTATAAGCGGTCAAAGACCTATACATGTCAAACAAAAAACATGGAACATCTTAAGGATAAAGATCAAAGCAATTCCATAGCATCAATTGGTCAATTTTTACTTTGGCACGCGTACTGGAGTAATTTACGGTGCCAGTTTCAAAGTGGATAGTTTAGATGCACAGATCGGCTGATTTTGTTTTGGGAAGCGTATTGAAGCAGTGTGACTCCTTAGCTGTTGATGAAATTTATCGAATGATCAAGGAGGAGAAGCAGCAGGTGTATTGGGCGTCATGAACTCGCCAGGGGGAACAACAGAAGTTGCTGGTATTGGTGCATCAGGCGCTACAGTGGCAGGAAGTGAAATATTCTGATTCTCGTTGGAAAGCGGCGCGTTCGATGGTTGAACCGACGTGTTCTTTCCCGGATAACTAGCATTGTAAAGATCTAGAAAAGGATCTCCAAAATCTAATTCCAAGATCCAAGAACATGTCAATTCGAGAACGTGAACTTAGATTGAGCTTTGATATAAAGAACAAAAGAATCAATAAAAACTTACCAAGTTGTCTCATCAAATCTTCATCTAATACTCTCATTCCTCTTCCATCATGATTTTCTCCAGAAGCAACCCAATCGTTCAACGATTGATTTCGATTTTGATTATGACGTCCTTCAGATCTTCTATTATTTCCATGCTGACTTTCAATATAACTTCCACCAACCATCATCCCCTTTCCTTTATTACCACGTGAAGGCGTCATTCTTGTTTTCATCGGTGAAGTTTGAACTTGATTAACTTTATTTAAAGGTTGATTGGAGGATTTGGACGGATCAGAAGATTGAGTTTCTACATTGATGGGTGATTGAGTATCTGATAATTCATGCATTTCGGTATCTTCAAGCAATTCATTTTGTCTTCCTTGTCCGTCGGCAGTAGTGATTGATGGTGTTATACTTCTGTTTGAACTTGCAGGACTGATTAAAACTCCGTCTGTTTCTGCATTCATTTCGAGTTCAAGTGACATTCTCTTGATGGGTTGATTGGATGTTTGAAAGGAGTGGAGAGAGTTGAGAGAGTGAAGTGAGAGATACTAGAATACTCAAACCTGTCTTAATCTGAAAGGGGTTCTCTGTAAACGTCTCTTCGTATTGCTTTTAGCCATAAATTGAATTTTCTGTATTCACATAGGTGATGAAGGCTGCATACTACATAGTGGCATATGTAGACAGAAATTCTTCCAAGAACACCAGAGCCTTGAATCAGCTTGCATGGTCAACTCTTTCAAGTATCACTTCCATATGCCAAAGCTAGGCTGTACAACTCTCCATCACCCCAGTCACCACCATCACAAAATACCAATTGCTTGTGGAAACCTCCAAGGCTTTGTAACAAAATATCCTGATCCTGATTCAAAGATCTTAAAAGAAAGCTACATACACATGAAGACAGAGTGGCTTGAACTACAAAAAGCCCATTCAGAAGAAATTCCATTGCCACAAAGAACGGGTGGACATCCCACGCTGTTGGAAGACCATAGTATTTTTTCTGAAAAAAGGAGGTGTTGCTGTATTGTCAAATCTAATGAGCTGCGATGCTCACTATTAGCATCATCCAGCAAGGCACACAAATGGCTACTGAGAACAAACTGCAAAGTTACAGGATAGTAAAGAATCACATAAACAAAACAGTTTAGATTGATCTCAATTACAAGATCAAACTAGATACAAAAGAAAGTAAAATGGGTCCTTGGGATCGTTAAGACAAAGTAGGATGAACTTTCGATCGACCAAAGGGTATCTTCAGATATCATCACCCATCTCGGCAGTAAGTTTGACTGCCTGACCCGGTTCGAATGCAGGCATACCTTTCAAATCAAAAAAAGATTATAACATCAGCTTATTTGATCTTAGATCAAAACGACCATGTCAAGCGAAAGGAACAGACGAATTTCGACTTACCTAGATAAGGACAACCTGAACACCTAAAAGCATCACCAAGATAACAACTACCACAGCTACTAGTAACAGTAGCAGCACCTTTAACACCTAGCTTTCCCTCCGTAAGAGGTTTAGTAGATCCATTAGCCTTCAAGTTGGATGGCAGATCATTTTCTTCCATTAATTCTAGTTCACGTAGACCACAACTACAATTCTTACAAGCCTTTTTAACTTTTTTGGGATTACATGCTACTTCTCCGTTTGTCGATGGTTTTATCAAGTCTTCTTCGGTTAGTAGGGTTGATTCATCTATTAGATCTGTATCGGATGTGGTTGTGAATGACCATAGAGATGCTTTGAGTGATTTCTTGGGGAGGTTTAGGGTTACTGCTGATGGTGTTGTATCGGATGAAGTTGTGACAGGTGCAGAAGCAGTAAAGAGCTAGAAATCGGAATAAAAAGAATGAATCAGTATGCAGTTTTTGAATGGTTATTGTAAGGACGAGAGATCGGGAAACGTACAATACATTCACCAGGAGAAGAACTAGAAGAGACATCGAGTAGCTGAAGAGAATTCAAAACAGATTCGACTTTGGTTTGATTGAAAGATTGAGTGATCCAAGAGAATTGACCAGAAGGTTTCAAAGAGGGAATAATTTGACTAAGGAAAGAAGTCGTAGTTTCATCATTTGAAGTGATGGAGTTTCCTTTTGTATTTAAATCTGCTGGATCTAGGATCAAGTGTATAGCATCGAAAGATGAAGTAGTGAGACTACTTCCTAAATTAACCAAAAGATGAAAGAATGATCAACCAATGGACTTCAAGTTCAAGAGACGAAAATGAACTGCTTACCACCATCTGTGATTCGATCTGGCATTTGTTTATCAAGATGAGCTGATGGATGATTAGTTTCTAGATTAGTGATAAGTGTTTGATATGAACCATTCTTCATTGTTCTGAGACATCCTACTACGAGAATGTTTTGATTTGAAGTCGATTGAGTCATTTTGATAAGCTGAAAATGTTGAGGTTGATGAAAATGCGAAGTTGAGAAGCGAAGTATCAGTTGAAGATGTTATCGTTGTTGAAAATTTCCAAAAACTTGAAAAACCCAAATTCAGTTCCCCGGCCCGAAACTCGGGAATAAGTTTCTGACCACAGTTTCTTCCAACTTCCCGGGTTTAATCATCCGATCGTAACCATCAAGCTGATCATGCGTAATTTATTACACTACGGATCAAAAGATTTGTAATCGTGACATGTTTTCCATCACCTGTTTCCAGCATGTTGTCCTCATATGTTGAAAACATCCCCAGTAAAAATGTAACGTAAACATACGTGATTAAGTTTCAAATATGTACGTTGTACATCAGGGAATCGTCGTGGAAATGTTTTTCTTACATTATAAAACCTTGACTGAACATACACTCAGTTCAAAAAGGAGTCGATCCGATGGGGTTATTTTTTTGAAAAATTGGTTACTGCACCCGCCTGCACGTTGGGGAACTGGGCTCGTCACGAGTTTGGGCTCAAGAACTCATCAAGGTGAGATGGTGATGAGGATGCATTACATCTTTGCATGCAAGGGAAGTGAGTGTACATACAACTTGTGGAGATCACAAACAAGACAAGAAATGAACCACAGCTTTTTATGGATTGGTGTATATAAAGGAGGCAGACTGAAAGGGTATCAATGAATGGAAGCTTGATTCACTAGCAATTGCGACGCGATTGATCGATTGATCCGATTCTAGGTGACTAAAAAATCAAAAATTGAAGTGATACTTAGAACTTCTATGTATGAGGTCGAGCTGAAGCAGGAGACAAGGTTTATTGACCAAAAGCGAACCAAACGCTGCAAACGAGAGCGATGGAAATGATTGAGCGAGATGGGAAATGTGAAATGGGGGACATGTCAGCATCCAATATTTCATGACTTCATCGACTTAACACAGGTCTGAATATGTGGAGAATGGTGATGAAGAGAAAGAGAGGTCTTACCTGAAGTCGTATAGAAAGAAAAAGGAGTCAAAGAGTGAACACATGTGAAAAGCAAGCTATGACTTTGCTGAAAGGTTAGTGATGCGAATTCAGCAAAGGTTTTCATCACTTGGTTTTTCAAAGTCAAGCCTCAGGTCTTGGTGCAGGCTTTTCAATCCGTTGGGGCAGTTTATGTTCTGGTGAGGTATTGAGATACCTCAAGAATATATGTTTTCAAATTATGATAAGAAATACATCAGCCTTACATATTTTCTACAAAAACACAAAATCCACATCACGATTACAAAACAGATTTGTCACTGCTAAGTAAGTCCCATGTTTCTCAAATGTCATTACTGGAGGTGTTTTGAAGACATATTTGCCCTTAAAGTTTGGACCGTAGTGTACTCATCGTTGCACAAATGAGTCATCCTTTAGCGGCAGGTCAATTGTAGACACTCCAACCATATTCATCAAATTGAACCCCACCCATTTGATAAGTTTTTCCTTTTGAGTTCCACAACTTTATCTTCTTGGCATCCCAATAACTTTGACAATTTTGTCTACAAGGCAATTGGTTTTGAGAAGCCCTAATCTTGTGGCATATCAAGGGAACCCCATTCAATCCAAAGCTCTCCAATTGAAGTTTATTATGGAGGATACCCATCACTGCTCACATGGACAACAGCGCTATCCTTCAATCTGTTGAAGGAGCTATCTACCATAGCTTTTGTAAATCATCATCACACAATCAACATAGCATTATGAGTTATCCCATGACCTATACAGTTAGTTTCACTCATTCTGGGCACATGAATATAGAATCAAGAAGTGTGTTGATTTTTTTATTGATATTAGCTTCAAGTTGTTAATAGGCCATCATCTAAAGTTCTCGTGGGGCAATCATGCTACCATAGTACCATAACACACAGTCTTTCTAGCAAAAAGCTCTCAGATTCTATACCACAGAAAACAAGATGTAAAAAGACTTACAGTCATTCTCAAAAAGGTTGCTTTATTTAAAAACAAATCGGACAGTTGAGGAATGTAAGGGTTATGCTTTACGTACTATTGCCCATGACAACTTGACAATACCAGCCACATATGATAATACCACAGCAAGCTACCCAGCCAATCTATCAATTTTCTAGTTCCCCATTCTCTCAGACTCTTTCCAATAATGATATTGGCTTGTTCTCAAGGTTGGTTTGGGATCTAAAATTGTCTGGGCCACTTGTTCTACTTTCTGATTCTTGTGATCATTTTTTCTCTCACAGGGTTGCTCCGTCACCACAATGGTTTTTGTCTTGGCTTGCCCAATATCAAACTCATTGGCATCCAAGCATCTCCACAGGGAGACACTTGACAAAATCAATCATGATCTTATGCTGACAGTCCCTAAAGACTCGAAAACTCTTTGTCATTCAATTGAATTGCTGGGATGGGTACAACCAGCCCGGGTTGTGTTGTTGGTTTAGTATGTCCAGCGGCAATAGACAAAGTCTTCAGTCCATGGGTCACCATGAGCGCAAGCTTATGACAAAAACATTTGACATGGCTTTTCTCAGGTGACCAGTGGACTGGATCGTCGGATGCTGCAAACAGCCGTGCCATCTCTCTAGCCATGGGCCCATTTGAAGACCCAGAGTCGGTGGTCTGGCCAATCATCTGGAATAGTCAAACGGTCAGAACCTAACCCAAGACACAAGAGCTGGATGAAAGAGACAGAAGAAGGACTTACCTTTTTATGTAGGCCATGTCGGATGAGGTTACGAGCCACCGGTCGAGCTAAAAGATCGCCGCAGTGATGCCAGGTAACCCACTTCAGGGTCAAGTGGACAGTCTGATAGTCCCAATTGTTGTCTATGTAGTTGACCATGACGCCGATGAAAGCCATTTGGTTTCCTTTGGTGGTCCAGCCGTCATGAGCTAACGAGAAAATGCTCGAGTTTGTCTAGGAGACATGAGAACATAACAAAATGAGGATAAGAATGTATAAAAATCAAGATTTATAATGAATGAAACAAAAAAAAGAAAAAGGAATCACCTTTATGCGGCTGATGACCACATTATACAATGAGTAAAACAATTCCTTGGCCGTGGTAGCTGCCCACTTAGGCGATTGAAGTTGGGCAGTACGATTACACAGTTTGAAAGCCGCTTGGAGTGTGGGGTCCTGAAAACGAAGCCAAGGTAGAGCGTGTCAAAGTATCCAGATTACCATAACTACATTTAAAAGTTCAATGCTGAAGGAAGATTGGGATAAGAATGATTTCATGTTATTTTGCTGATTAACCACTTCGGCTGGTTTGTTGATTTCTTTCCAAGTTGGTGGGAGTTCTACACCCAATTGGATTGCCCTTTGACGGCCGGTATGGTTTACGTTTTTTGTAACCATCTCGATGTCCATAAAGATTCAAGTTGCCATCGTTGCCTCTTGTAAAAGCACCATTGCACCATCTACATACATAGCTCCGTTTGATTCCTGTTTTCTGAACAAAAGTGAAAAAGAACCACAATCAGAATATGATAACCATTCATGCCAAAGATAAGACATACCTGCTTGCCTGGAACATACTTTGGCTCTTCAAAGTAAGATAACAATGCCTTCACTTCATTTCTCGTTTCCTTTCTAAAACTGGTCTTGGGTCCTTCGTCATCTGTAACTTGATCAACATCGACTCCATTTGGAACTGTGAAGTCCTGTTGAAATCGATAAAAATTACAGTATTAGAAAAACGATGAAATAGATGGAAGGTGTAAATCAATCTTACCTTGATGGCAGGTGCCCTCAATTTCTTTTTCTTGGCCTGAGTGTTGCTTGAGCTCAAAGTTGAAGTTTTGTTCTTTCTCTTCTTCAAAGGTGTTGAGTTTTTTGTGATAGATCTACCTTTATTTTTCAATATTTGTGCTTGACTCGGGGATTGTTCACCATCTGTGAGTTCAGTCTCTTTCTGATAATGGGGGTCTTCACCTTCATTGTCATCGGATGTATCAATGCCGATAGTAATAGTAGTAGGTTCTGTGGTTGAGGTTCTTGTCGACAAGGGCTTGGCCGACTCGATCGACGACTGGTTTGACTCTGAGGGGGGCGAAGTGTTCCTGCTGAGCCAGGTGGAGATTCTGGTGGACCCATGATAATAGAAGAAGTATGAAAAAAAGATAGTGAAGAGTGGAAGTTCAGTTGAAAGTAAGACTAAGATGACTTTATCAAAAGTGATGGAAGACAGAGTGTAGGAAAGAGGAACTTACTTATTAGATAATAATGAGTTAGTGAATCCTTAATCAAGGACAGATACATTGTTAGTCAAGCTTAATTGGGACTATCGATCCCTTGCGTCGAGAAGATGGACGGAAAGGGGTGGCCCAGGGTGTGGTACATCTGCTTTGAGCGACAAGTGAGGATGTTTGGTCAGTTATGGATTGTACCCGTAGTCATCCGTAACCACTACGGGTTTTGTTGCGGGTACCATGGCCGTACCGTGGTGTAATCGTAATATTGAACTGTCACCATGTTTGCCTCTTACACATATCGGTACGGTGGTACCGTAATGCTAAAAAGGCCACTATGGTACGGTGCGGCCCGTGCCGAACCGTACCGTACCCCGTAACCATCTCGCTGAGGTCCGAGCGTTGTCTGGAGTGAGTTGCTGTTAAGCAATTTCATCATCCACTTTGGGACTTGTTAATGTGAAAGATGGTATTCACTTGCAATACTTGCTTGAAGAAGTTGGTTTTTTACTAATTGATTGTGAATAATTGGACTTTGTTTTAGTTCTTGTCATCATTTATACTGGACTCATTTGTGACTTCAGGTGATTCAACACTTGGAGAGACTAATTCTGTGTATTCATTTTTCAAAGCTGTTGTTGAATTTGTTTTGGTCAAATACAGAGATTCTGAGTGTGCTTTTGGTTTGCAATACTCAACCCTCTATCAATCAATCTCACTTTCTAACAAACCATCTGATGGTTTTGATTTTCTTATTCAAGTTATCTTTTATACTTTCCTGTTTCCTCTAAGCCCCCCAGCCTACTCTCCTACCTGATCAAGCCCAAAAGGCATGGCCAGTGTACACATAGGTCATATTTTTGAGATTTATTTTACTTTTTTGGTCATTATTTGCCTGTCCCTATGCCATATCTTATACCAAAACTATATAGCACTATTGGGGCAGGAAACTGGAGTATCTGAATTTTATACAAAAATGAAACAACAACCAACTGTTAAGAACATTGGTATGGAGATTACCTGTACACACTCAGCTTGCCTTAGAGTTCTGAAGAAATCTATGGAACTACATTTACTGTGAGATTTGAGGTTCAATTTGGTAATGTGATATGAAAAGGTTCATTCGAATCTCATATGAATGATTTAATATTTTCTCTTCCCAATTCTTCGGAGGCTCCTAGCATAATCATTTGTCAATTTTTTTGGGAATCTTGTCCAGAAATCTTGACGTATTCCTGTTCCTGGCTGTTGTACAGAAAAATCATGTGAAAGAAAATTGCCAAACAATTTTACATTATATTCAGCTGATGAGCATAATCCAGTACTGGGGTGGCTTCTTTCTGAATAAGTTGATACAATATGATCAAAACCCAAGCAGTAGCATTCCAGATCTGAAACAGGAAGTTTCCGTGAGAATCTCTGGTTCATTGTGGAAGATAACATTGACTCAAAATTTGTTTTCCATTTTATTAGGAAGTCTCTCACTTCAACATTTTTTTCATTTTCAATGTCCCTTCCTACATCTTCATGAACCAGTAGGACAGGCTTTTCTGGTGATTTGTATAACAAATATTTTGGCCAGGACAACGTTCTCCCCACCTGCATTATCTCTCTTGACTTGGTATTCCATAATTTGGAAATAGATTCTTCTCCACTTGACAACAATCTTGCATCTGGATACCCCCTGAGAAAATCTGATTTCCAAGTGATTGAGAAATGATTGTAAATGAAAGAATTTGTATTTTTGTAACGCAGTAGATTCACATTATCTACTGGCTTATATACCAGTTTGAGAATTCGCGGAAGTGATGACATTCTTTTCACCATCAGGTCTCGAAATGTTTCATTTCCTCCCTCCTCAATTGATTTGCTTATAGAACGGTTTCTACAAATTTGATAAATCACATCTGTGTGCCACAAAAGAAACCTAGAAAGATGTTCTTGATTTAATTCTTGTTTATCATCCAGCAACCAAGAATGGTAGGCTCTGCATAAAATTCCGGTTATTCCCTTGATTCTATTCCACATGGCCAGACTTGGGTTCAAAGTCAATAAGAAATATACTTGAGGCAAAAGTATGTCAAATGTCCATATCTTTTTGCCCATCTCAATCATGTTGTCACCTGGATTTTGTCGATATGTGTATTTATGATGAATCACAGAAACAAGGTCCCAAGTAAAGTGAATAGCTGCAGATGAACAAATTATCATAGGTTTATGCTCTTTGAACCTTTGAATATCAATACCAATCTTGACCTGTCTATCATTCATCATGGGAGGTGACTGTGGTGAGAAGATATCATGCACTGACTGTGATGTATGTATTTGTCTTTGAAGATGAAAAAGTTCATCAACATCTCTATGTTTAGAATGTTCAGATGTGCTGCTTTCAGGGATGTGATTGTGTGATTCAGATTTCTTTGAAGTTTCTGGACTGTGTTGATCCCCCAAATCAGGAACAACTTCAGTATCTCCAGAACCTTTGGCTTCAAGTTCATTTTCTTGTTCTGAGATATTCAAATCAAAACCAAACAAGAACTTTGATGCTTTCTCTGCTGGGGGAGTCTTTGTACTTAAGGGTCTCTTGGCACTTTGCCTAAACATGTAATTCAGATTACCATTGGGACTAATTGTAGATTCATCTACAACTGAGGAGATAGATTGTTTGTCCTTGAGTTGAGTTGGGGCCACAATGTACCTCTTGCCTGTATCTGAACCTATGACCTTTTCCTTCTGTCTGTTATCGAAGCCTATGTTCAAATTTGCTGCATTACACCACCCATGAGAATCTTGAGAATTTTCATAATACCAGCAACTGTGAAGATCTTGTAGTTCTACATTCTTTGGATAGGTATTAACAGCTGATTCTTGCATCTTGGGATCTGAAGTGGTAATTTTTGTTTTTTTGCAAGAAACTTTGTCATGTTGATCACAATCGATTTTCATATGTTTAAACCAATTGGAACTACTTGAAGGTTTTGGAGATTTTATATTTGTACTTTCAAGCTCTGAACTGATGCCCAAGGAGAGTTCCAAACCATGTTCTCTGAATTTTTCCATACAAAGTGAGAAATTGCAAAGCCAAAAAAGCCATATCAGAATGGTGATTTCAAATTGTGACATTTTCAAGAACAATTGCTGTGAGTTTTGGATATGAGGTTTTGTGTGTATAAAATAAATGATAAGATAGAAAATGGGACAACCAAAGATCTCCAGGTCTCAGATGAAAAATTATGAGACAGATTTGATTTACTGCTCTCATTGATTATTACTCTGAGACCTGTCTGGAACAAACTCCAATCCAGTAAAATTTCTTCATACAGATGCTGGTCTTCCACCAAGATGTTTTATCCTTGATGTATTTACTGGGATCACCATCAGAATTTAGTGCCCAAGAACCAAAAGTACTCAGAGGATTTTTTTACTTTTTTACCTATATATGATCCACTTCTTTCACATCTACTAGGGAGTCATTTCAGTGGTTGAGAGATTGCTCAACCACTTAACCTCCAGCAGCAACCAACCACAGTGAAAATCAATTTCACAAAGTTTTGCATGCTGCAATATTGCTATCCAAAAGTTTTACCAAAGTTTATTGCATACTGTGCCTGAACTGTACAAACTTGAGACCAGAAATTTGTACTGTGATACTAATTGATTCCTTCAAGTGTAAGCCCCCCTAAAGTACATTGAACTACAAACACACCAAGAAACCACATTTTTAAAGCTGGTATTATCAGATATGTGTATACTCAATATTTCTTTACTTGACCCCCCTGTTGACCATTTGAATTCTGAGGCATAAAGCTTGAGAGCTCTGGCAACGCTTAGACAGCTACACTACAACACACTACCATGCATTTTGTATGTAGCGTAACTGTATGCAGTTAAAACAGATCTGACCTTTATGATAGTGTAACTTGTAAAGTTACGCTACACTACAAGCTACTGTAGCTGAGTTTTGTGCCTCTACGCTACGCTACAGGGCCAAAATCTGGTTAGCTGGAGATTTTCTGGGACTCTGCGTAGGGTAGCTGGGATTCATTTATGCTGATTCCTGCTAGCTGTAGCTTTGCGGCATGTTTCTAGCTACGCTATCTTGCGCTATCAGCTACGGATAGATTAGCTGTCTCAGTGTTGGCTCTGGACTGCACATCACAGCTCTTATACCTTGCACATTGTTGTTGAATATCAAAACACATGAGCTGATAGGGATGATTGAAAGTAAATGACAACATTAACATCTTCATTTATCTTTGAGGATAAGATCCTATTAATCAGTATTGATGTTTCTTCAAATCAGTTGCATAGTTCATGTCCTTTCATGAAACACCAAAATTAAGATATGTGCCTTTTTTATTTACAAATACAAGTCAGATATTTTTCCAGGGATTTCCAAGATCACTTGTGCTGTGCTTTGCAAGATAATATCATGGTATTATTGTGGTGTGCATGTTTTCAGGTTTTTATAAAAAAATTCACATGCTCTTTGTCTGTGCTTCTTTCTGTTTCAGAATTTGATTGTTGGTAGCCAAGCCCAAAGGAATGTGTCCATTTTTGGTTCTAGAACTGGCATGATATTGGTTTGAGCTTCAGAGAAGAGGTTGGTGGGGACTCAAATAATGACTTAGAATACTCATATGGAATTGTTCTCAAAGCAGCTTGATTTGACCCATGATTAGCTGGTCACAATTGAAAATCAAAATTTGAAGATGACACAAGATCCTGGGTATAAGTCTTCTGACTAGCATTAGGATCATAGCCTAAATTGTTCAAGTGTAGTCCAGATACTTGATCACTTATTACTAGGTTGCAACTTGAACTTACAATTTGAAGGTTTTAAACTCAATGGAAGTGAAGGTTGAACAAATTGTTTGAATTATGTTTGTGCCACCAAAATAGTGTGACAAAGGGCTTGTCTTACATATGTCCCATTTATTACAATTGGAATTGATGTTTGAGTGGTCCCTGTTTACATCTGAGGTAAAATTGGTCCCCGCTGAATTGAATTCCAGACCACACCCGGTAAGCAAAACTGCACACTTCAACGAACTCACCAAGTGCAGATTTGCTCTTTGAAAAAAACAGCATACATCCAAACCCACACGATTGCATACCTGTGCAACTGCATAATCTGCCATTTTGCATAGACCAGGACTTTCCCCAACTTGGGCCGGGCTAAAAGTTGAGTTTACTGCATAATTATGTCAAAAATTATACTGCATAGTTCAAAATCCAAAAAACAGGTTATGAAAGCCTAATTGCATGGCTTTTAGCCCAAATACAGGATAAGAATGCACTTAGCTATACATAAACCTTGAGCCCAAGTCTTAAAGCCTAACCTTAGCCTGTGAAAATGCATAATATTATGTATGTTGGCCTATTTCCGCATTTATGCATAACTTGATACATTTTGACCTACCATGTATTTTCCCTCACTTTGTATAACCCGTGAACTTGCATAGGCCAGATGTCCCCCCCAAATTATGCAATTGCGCGGGTTTGACTGTATCTCAAAAGCATGGTAGTGGAACACTTGCAACACAACAAGAGAAACACTACAGTTGCAAGTGTTGATCCGGTGTGCTACGCAGCAAGTGCAACACACAATGCAACATGCAAAATCAAATGTGTCCCAGAAAAAAGTTAATTAGAGTGTATCAACTGGTATCACTGATAGTGAAGAAATTATAAAATAGAAATGAATGGTAGTAATAAAAATAATGAAATAGAAGACAAAGTAAAATGAAGTGGGAAGTGAGAAACAAGGGTTTTAAATAGAAACAAATACACAAAAAAACATGTCATTGGTATTACCATGTAATTGGAAATCTTAAAATCTATGTAAGCTTTACACCCTCCCATAACCAAAGCCTGCGTGAGACAAGGTTTTAATAGTTCTTGAAATCAGGGTGCCTTTACTCCACAGACAAACATTGGATGCACAGTACAAGTTCCTCTCTGCCATGTGCAACAAACCTGTTGATCCTATTGGGGGCCTATTGAGTGTAGAATTACATTCAAGTTCAGTATCACATGAGGTCATCAAAAATTTATAAAAAAATTGCCTTCCACCAGAGTAGATTTGCATCATGATTTTTGATTTCATAGTCTTCTGTCCTTGTCTTGTCAGATCAGTTTAAATAGTTTCTTGTTGGCAATCATCAACTTCAAGTTTCTGTTCAGAGTTTGTTCTGGCTTTGGGGAAGAAATTCTTGGGTTTTTCAAAAAAGATTCCATTTTTGGTTTCAGATAGAGCTGGTTTTGTTATATGTGCAGACTGCTTGTACTCCTGGTGAATACGTCAAACTTTGGAGTTGGCTTGCATCTCCACCAAGGAAGTTTCTTCAAACCACTTCACAAACAATTTCAGTGTAAAGAAAGGGTTTGGGATGGTGTCCATGACTAGATTCTTGCATCCAACAGCTTTGTGGAGATAGTTGATGGCCTTCTCCTTCATCTTTGCCGGCATTGGGTAAATATTGTCTGTTGTAGCAAGGGGTGCAATCCTATTTTCAAGAGGGATACAAAGCTCTACATACTCAGGAATCGCCCTGCAAGCAGTTTTTCCATCACCCTAAATAAGGAGAGTGGTCTTCAAGAGAAAAGATTAATGTTAATATGTAATAAGAGAAGATCAAAACCAATTCCAAAACCACTTACTTCAAGTTCCTTGTTGATTCTGAAAACTTGTGCTCATTCCCTTGTGGTCATCTCCAGGTCATTAAAGTAGCCATATGGCTTTGTCTTGCGCAGGTTTCTATTTTTGGTGTGAACTACGTTTAAATTTCTTAAGCATAATTTATTGTTGATCCGGTGAAAAATATGCTGGTGAGGTTTGTTTGTTTAACCAAAAATCACATAGTAAAAGGAATGTACCTCTCTTGCAATCCATACTTTGTGGCCACTTTGGTAGTTGATATTCCATCAAATATCATACTCTGCAATGATTGAACCTTTGAAACCTTTATATTGAATAAGATCATGAAACTCCTTGCACCACACATATGATCATTTTATTTTCTGAGTGATAAATTCCACTATGATTGATGATGGAGGTTATAACAAAAAATTAGAAAAAGTGAACAATCTGACAAGGTGGGAAAAGTAGGAAAATATGTAATTTACCTGGAGCAATATGTGATCTGCATGGTTTGCTTCCCAAAGGTGAGTAGATTGGACTTTGTGGTCCTCAATAACCAAATATGGACACACCCTGTTTTTGGCATCCACAGCATCCCATTCACCTTCATCATCAGGTTCATGAACAACTTATGGAGTGGGTGGGGCATCCTGAATATCCTGAAAATCATCAATACTCACAATTGGGTCAGAAATAAAGAAACATACATCAGCTCTGGGTCTCATTGGTATGAACTGTGGTCATCCTGTTCAATAAACTGTCTGTGTGTCTTGCATGCCATGGTCTTCTTGTTGAAACCAGAAGTGGTAGTCTGACATAGCATGTATTCCACCCAATGAAAGATGTCAGTACATCTTGTTTTACATGAAATTAGACATAATAAGATCAACTTATCTTTTTGGATAATCCATGTTCGCCCAAGATATTCAACATTGGCTCTGCAATCCAAGGTCCATGATGGTGCCATGCAATAACTGCAAGAGTATGGTGTTGGGTTTTTCAATTGATTGTGGACAAAATTAACTGACACATCAACAAAATCATGTCAATTGCCCTTGGGTGTCCAGCCATTGCAGACTAAGTTGAATTTGGATATGAGAGACTGGAAGAATATTTAATCATGGAATACTGGGAAAATGATAAGTTTTTACATATATTGAGTTCTGCAAATACTTTCTCCTTGGGAGAGGGATCATTTGGCTGGGTCTGTCAGAAGCCCAGCAGAAACCATACAAATGGGAGTTCTTTTGAAGGTAATGTATCATTCCTCAAAGGATTGAATTCTCAATTCTACTCCATGGTTGAGCTTGACAGATCAGCCAACGCAGGCCATTTGATTAAATGAGAGATTAGAGAAAGAGACATTTGGGTATACTGAGTGAGCTTCTATGGTCTCTATTACTTTGAATTTCTTCTAGCTAACTTGGATTGCTCAAAAAGACAAATTATATTCCACTTTCAGTGGATGAAACTGCCCATA